ACACTATATATAATAGGTCGGCAAACATATTTATATATATAAAACTCTTGAGAGGTTGCCAAAAGTAGTTTATTGAGTACACGAACGGTTTCGATGAAGTATACCTGGTGAAGGGCGATGCCCGAAAACGTTACAATTATAAGTAACTAACAGTATCTTTCGCTCGCTGAATATTGTAGAATGAACAAAAGAGACCGGATTAAGAATACCTTATGAAAATTACAACATAAAGAAACGCTGATAAGAAAATATGAAAGGCCTACATAGACATAATTAAAGAGCCGCCACTTCCTTGCATCGCTAATGGATCGTTCGACACAACACCTTTACAAATGCATCTCAAATCATAAAGATGGTATGATATGGAATAGGCATATATCAATGTCTATTGAATGTAGGCCTGTCGTTTACTGAGTTTACTTGATCCAACATAAGCCGCAGTTAGTCCTATATCAAGATGCTTTCGCTGACCGTATAGTCTATTTATGATTGTGAGGTCGGGGAGGGGATTAAGTATGAATAGAAGTTGTACCGGTATGTAAACTACGTTGTTGTGGTAGCAGTGGTGGTGGTACAATCTGGGTACAATAGAATAGCTGTCGGTGCAGACATAAGCAATAACATCGATTTGATAATAATGGCATGAGCCTAATGTATTACCGGCACAATTTATTTTATGAACAGCTCGTCATGTTCAATTACGTATCCAAATCAATTTAATATATTGATAAGTCTCCGTACAATACAGAGACTTATTTTATACAAGACTACAAAGGGCTGTTTAACGAAAACCAGACGGACCCAGATACACATATTAGTGTGCATAAAACATGCATATATATATATATATATATAGAAAAGTATATAGTTTAAGATTATCAGAAGCAGAGTGCTCAATACAACATGTATACTGTACATATAAGAATATATATGTAGGCCTATGTATGTATGTATATATATATGTATATATATGTATGTATATGTATGTATATATATATATATTTATATGTGTGTATGTATGTATATATACATATTTGTATATGTAAGTATATATATATATATGTATGTATATATATATATATATGTGTATGTGTTTGTATGTATATATAAATATAAATGTATGTGTATGTATGTATATATATATATGTATATGTGTATGTATGTATATATATATATGTATATGTGTATGTATGTATATATATATATATGTATATGTGT